GAAGGCTGTTAGGGCAAAGTAATACAAAGAAGAAAACATCTATAAAAGTGATCTGCCAGCAAATTTATCTCCCCCCCGAAAAAAACTGGATAATTAAATGTTTATATTTTTAGATGAACTGTCATACTTTTCCAAAGAATTGTTATTTTAATAGAGAAATATATCAATATATATTTACATCCTGACTATGTGTGTGTGTATACACAGAAGGGTACTTACAGGCACACACACAAATGGACACATATCTTAATAACTTTGTGCACAAAACTTTCCGAGATTAATTAGTGTTCTTAGATTGGCCCAGGGAGATTTATATGGTGCTCAGGGGCCTCCTAAGAAATCTTTGAGCTATCAGCAAGAAAGACCTAAGCGGGGGAGGGAAGCATCTTGTCAAATTGAATGAACAAAATTCATATCCCCATTAATTGTCCTAAACGTTATCTCAGAATTGGTGTGGAAGTGATAAAAAGGTATGTTCTTTGGCTTAGTTTTCAATACACTGGAAATCTTGTATGGCACTGAATCTGAGGGGCTTGGAGAAGACATATGTGAATATTGATGCATTTTGCTCCAAAACCATTTTGTCAACATATTTGATGCTTTCTCTTCATCCAAATGAAGAATTCTGTGTGCAGATGATTTATTTTTAATAAGGACACATTCAAATGTTTTTAAGTGGCTGATGCAAGGTTTGTGTTCTGGATTTGTTGGAACTTTAATGAAACAAGACTGATGAAATTGGCTTTGCATAAACATTTTTCCTGTATGTTCGCCCTTCTTTTTCATAATGCAATCATTAAGCATTTTGAGTTTCTCTGAAGAAACAATTGTAACTCATTTCAAGCAGACTGGTTTGGGGTGCAATCCCCTTGTCCTCAGGCAGGTATTCCCATATTCACAGGATACTTTAGACTTTCATCTTAGTGGGCAAATACTGGGGGCGGGGTGTCCCTTAAACAGGGAAACTGAACCTTCCCATTCCAGCTGCTGTTAGAAGACAACCTACACTTGCATAGGACATTTTCATGAAGAATTAGTGACATCCACCTCAATGCTGTGGAAGATAACTAGCATCAGTTTTCTTGGATTTCATGTAGGGGAACTTTCCAACCCTTCTGATGGATTTCAGAAGATGGATCCAACACCTTTGTCATCCAGGGTATTTCTTCTTTATTCTTCTGTTCAAAATATTTCCAGATTTCATAAGTGTTACAGAGTTTTGGGGAAAAATATTTTCATAAGAGAAATTGTATTACCTTCAGATCATGATTACGTGACATTAGATCATCATGGTCATCTGCAGTCTCCTGAGTTTCCATTATTAAGTTGCATAATGTTTCTTTTATATTTATATTATTTTACATTTATTTTTATCTCATGTGCAGAGGTACATTTCTTATAAAATGCAAAACATGGAATATATATTTTTTTTCCATAGGGAAGAAGGAAGAAATTAATGTAGTTCTTATCAAATTGCAAATACCTGTCTAGATGTATCCCCGGTAACTCTTCAAAATCCTTCTAGCTTTTGCCACTCTAATTTTCCTTTCTTAATAGAGTTCTCTCTGTCATCTATCTATCTATCTATCTATCTATCTATCTATCTATCTATCTATCTATCTATCTATCTATCTATCTCTCTCAGTTGTATATTTTCTAATCATTTATTCAAACCCAATGCTGTTTAATTCTACCAGAACTTTCATTTAAAAAATAGCTACAATATGCAAGCTTTCTCTTTCTCTTCAATGCTGACGCAGGTTTGATGTAATGATGCAAGTCTGTCAGTTTTATTTTTTCCGCATTAGATTTAAAAACAAACAAAATGCAGTTTTAGAATGTTTCAATGTGCTCTGAAGGAAAAGGTAAATTTTAAAACAATCTATAAAGTAAAGTAAAAATAAAATGAAACCAAGCAATTTCTCACCTCTCTGCACATCCCAAAATTTAGGAGATGCAGACAGTCTCCGGCGAAGGATGCTTCCTGTCTTCTAGTAATTAATTCCAGTAATTAATAAAGACTGTGAGGGAAACAAATTAAACCGTTCAGAAATCCAGCTCAGTGTTATCCAATCTACCCTAGTTCAGCCAAATAAACTTATTTCCCTATGCTATTGCTGTTCTTTTAGAAAAAAAAAAAAAATGATGTCAAATGCTACGGTTTTAAATGAATTTATTCTTCTGGGATTTTCTGATTATGGATTGAACATGGCATTTTATATTGTCCTACTACTGATGTATCTTCTATCAATTATGGGACACTCCTTAATAATCATAATTGTTTCTGTGGAACCCATGCTCCATACTCCAATGTACTTCTTCCTGCTCAACTTCTCCATGGCTGAGATTTGTTCCACCACAGCAGAGATACCAAAGATGGTAGCCAATAGTTTCTCTGGCAAAAACACCATCTGCCTTGCCTGTTGTCTGGCTCAAGGATTCATGGTCTTCACAACAGTGGGGGTCCAGTTCATCACCCTTACTATCATGTCTTTTGACCGCTATATAGCCATTTGCAAGCCTTTACATTATCAGACCATTATGACCCACGGACTGTGTCGCAATCTCGCTTTGTTAGCCTGGCTGGGTGCATTTGGGCTAATATTTCCTCAGTCTGTAGTGCTGTGGACCTTCCCATACTGTGGAAATAATGTTATTGATCACTTTTTTTGTGACGTTGGTCCAGTCTTGCAACTGGCTTGTGCTGATACCACTTTGATCGAATTAGTAGGTACCCTATATGGTGTCACTATCATGTGGGGGTCATTTGGGTTTTCACTGATTTCATATGTGCGTATTATATACACTATAATTCAGATCCCTTCTGCCACCGGGCGGTCCAAAGCCTTTTTCACCTGTGCCTCCCATCTCGCTGTTGTAACCATTTTTTATACAGTACTTATGTTTATGTACCTGAGGCCTTCAACTCAGGGCGATCCTCAACTCAACAAAGTGGTATCACTTGTGCACACAAGTTTCATCCCCATGTTAAACCCTTTCATCTACACCATCCGGAACAGTGACTTCAAAGCAGCTCTACGGAAAACAGTAACCAAAAAGAAGATGAATTTTTAAGATGGCGTAGGACTCTTTAAAAATCTTGCATCCCACTACTTCTAAACAGAACTGATGATAAGATTTGAGTTATTGAGTAAGATTTCCTTGCTTCTCCATTTGCTGTCTTATAACTCAGAGGCTGGTTACTCATTTGACTTCAACAAACTTGTGTATGAATCTATGAATTCTCCATGACTAGGTTATGCCAAGCGTCAACATTTTGCATGTAATAATATACTGAATTTGTATGTCTAATATATATTGCAGCTACTATGTGGGGTTCCTCTGGGTTTATAGATACCATAATTCAGATCATCTCTTCTGCCTTCAGACCCAAAGCCTTTTTCACCTGAGCTTCCCATCTCACAGGTGTAACCATGCTTATACATAAACTATCTCTAGGTACTTGAAGCGTTCAACTTACTGAGACATCCAATTAAATAAAAAATTGTCTCTCCTGCGTCCAAGTCCTATATCCACATTAACCCGTTTTATTGACACACACAGTGATTTCAAAACAACTCCATGGAAAGCAGTAACTAAAATGAAGAGGATTTTCTAAGATGGTGTGTGGCTCTGTAAAAATGCTCCATTACAATTTCTTATTCTAAACGTAACTGACCATAAGTTTTGAGTTCTTTATTCTGCTGTCTCCTGTAATATAACTCAGTGGTTGGTCATCTACTTGGTATCAATAAACTAGTGTATTCATTTATGAATACTCTATGAACTGTGTTTTGACCAACCCAAGTATGTTTCATGTGATTCTTGCTTTATACACGCATGCCTGAAGAGGTTCCCACTTCTATGGAAGTCCTTTTTTAATGCCTTGTAGACATCCATCTCAGAATTCTAGCAGGGTGGAGAGGTGTTATTGCTTTCATAAGGAAATGTAGATATGTACCCTCAGGATAAAAATGGACTTGAATTTAAAATAAAGAATAAAAGTATTAGTGGCAAAATTAACTTGTTGGCTCAGAGAAAGATCAACTGTTACATTTGTTAGGGACTGGAAACCCCTTATGGGCTTTTTGCTGGAGAAAGAAAACATGAACTTGTGATTTTTAGAATTGATAATTAGGATAGAATATGGAAAGAAGGAAATTATGATGTAACCTTAGAGACAGAAGGTAAAATAGAAATGGCTTTATAACTGCTTTTAAGAAAATTGGAAGCCACTTCTTTGTAACTTTTTCTTTTCTTTTTTCTTTGCCCTTCTTTTCTAGAAATTTCTTTATTTTATTTTATTTTATTTTATTAATTTTCTTTTTTTTTCTTTGCACTTTTCTTCTTTCTATTTCTTCTTCTTTTCCTGAGTTTAGTTTGTATTTGTATTATTGTAATTAAACTGTTTAATTAAAAAATTTAAAATAATAATAATAATCTAAATATGAAGCACAGCTGTATTTTCTTTATCACCCAGAGTTTACAAAAGTGTGCACTTTCTGACTGATATAAATAATCTGAGATAAGGTATGTTATGAATATAATTATAATATATATCAGGACAGGTTCTCTCAGGGGTAGGAAAAGGTTTCATAAATAGGAATATAATATAAATCAATTTGCTATGAAGGAATTGAATTTCCTCTTTGCCTGAGGCTCTCAGCTCTAAGAAAGAGGAATCCATCGTCTATGGACTATTGCTGATTACAACAGAACAAACCAAGTTCACTAAAATCACCAGCTCTTCTGAAGCATCACACATTCCCCTGAGATCAAAATAGTAATACATTTGTGGAGGGAATAGGAGAAACTAATTTAAGGTTATCCTGATGTCTAGAAGAGGAATGAGACAATAGCTCCCCAGAGTTTCCTGATTGTTTCACTCATATGAACGATCAGAACTGGTCTTATCCTGAGGCAGATGGGGAAAGGCAGTAGAGGATGAAGGTGGGCTTTCCAGCTCTCCCTCTCACTTTTGGTCAAGGGACCTGCCCAGGCTCTAATCATCTGTTTTTATGGAGAACGCTCCATAGGGTCATTAGTGGAACAGAATAACCCTGATTTTAGTTTGGTTCTCCATATTGGATAGAAGGAGGGACCTTGCTGCACTTTTTCTAGACCTCAATCCACCTTCAGTTGGCCTTTTGATTGTTAATGCCACTCCGTATACAGTGACAATCAGTTCCCCAAACCAGCTGCATGAGATACTACCTGCGTTTACATTCCCCAGTGACAGCATTTGCCTCGTCTGTAACCTGAAGCAGGGTATCAGACACAAACACATAAGAGACTCCCTTTCTTGGATTGCCAAACTTCCACCAACTCAGGATTCTTCACGGTTATCTTCCATCCGGTTTATCTTTTCACATTCAGCTAGGCCAACCACACCTGCCTGCCAGACTAAATGTTGACACTCGGATTGAGAGTCAAGGTGCTGCTAACCCTTGTCCTTGAGTGTGGAAGATCTCCTCTGCTTCTCTGCAACCTGGTCAGGGAGAAGTTTCCAGGATTAGCTTTTTCACAAAATGGGTCAATTTCTTCCTTGAACCAAAGTGACAAGGTCCAAGCAGTTTTGGAATGTTGATGCTCATCATAAATTAAACACTGGAGTAACAGCTGCTGTAATTGTAACACCAACTGGAGCAACAATAAATTTCTGATTTTGGTTTGTTTTTGTGGTTATTCATAACTCCAACCCAGTGAGAACTTGGGGAACAAGACAGCGGAGCCAAAGTACAGGAGGCTAAATCTATACATAAGGAGATGGAATCAGGACACAGACAAAGACATATAGGGACAGAACACCTCAGCAAAGTTAAACAACATAACTGTGCAATGCTTCCCTGGAAATAAATTAAATACCCATGACATTTTTGCATATACTTTCCCTGTCCAATTTACTCAGCTGATTCCAGTCCCTGCAGGACTTTCAGGCCAAATACCTGAGTCCCAGATCCAGTAAGGAAATGTGTTTCCATGATCGATCTTTTTCTAGGGACCTTCAGCCATAACTGGTTGGGGGAAAAGAACTTTACAATTGCCTCTCCCCTCCTGAAACTCACAGTCTTTTTTTTTTTTTTTAAATGCAGGAGATGATGGATACAGAGGGTTAGAGGCTACATGAACATCAACTAGCCTGCAGGGCCCTTAATCCACCGCCAAGTGGATTTACAAGTTTTTGTAAACTTGTATTGTTAACAGTACTTTTAATACAAGACATTACCATGGAGCAAATGAATGAACAAGACCCAAGAATATGAAGCTGTTCTATTTTTCAGTACTATTGATCTGCTGTAACTCTTCCGAGTCACTCCAGAGCCATCAACAATATATGTATAACGACAGCAACAACAACAAGTATTTATTTATCTATTCAATCACATAGGCTCATCTTTCAAAGTTCATGATGGAAAATATATGGTCGTCAAGGAGTATTATACAAAGTATACTCTAGCTGTATAGG